CAAAACATAATAAAAGATTAATAAGTAACTAACTAACTTGATGAATAACATCTAGAAAGGAGAGGAGAGATTGTCTATATACCCAATACACTTCATCTGCTAAAGCGGCTAACAACTAAAAGGAATAAACAAACAGACAGACACGAAAACAATATCATTTTGCCACAAAAGCAGTTACCTTGTTTGCATTCACATATAAACATTTTGAATGTTCTACAGTGAATTTCATCAAATAATCCCCATCCCTTATAGTGTTTTATCATTGGACATTTTGCATTTAGACTTCATGCTCAGTTATAATTCTATTCTCTTGTTTGTTGTATTGCATGTTTCAAAATCTAGGAAGGGGACGGGAAGAGTTGTTTAACCAATCCATCGCATCGGCTAAAACAGCTCATAACTAAAAGGAATAAACAAACAGACAGACACGAAACAATATCATTTTGCCACTGAAGCAGTTACCTTGTTTGTATTCACATATAAACATGTAGCGGTGTTGTTTGTTGCATGTAACGTCATCGAATAATCCCCATCCCTTATAGTGTTTTATCATTTTAACACAATGTCCACTTCCAGCTGGTTCGCCTGGCAGCCATTTATCAATAATGGTCATGTCATGTCCACTAATCCACCTCCAGTAGTTAGTTGATATTCTCCTCAGACCAATATACCACTCGTTATATCCTACATCTAGACTTTGTATCGTCTTGTTGATAAACTGGTATTCCTCTTCTGTTTCCATGGATACCAAATTTCCGCCATTATCTTGACAAATCTTATTGCTATCTTCCCAACCCTTTGTAATATGGTGGAATGAATAGCAGGAGCAGTCAGCGATTTCTATAAAATTGACATAACGATACTTAATCATCGCATGTTTTTTTTTTTCCTTCAAAACTACACTGTACACATATAGAAGTTATTTATGAGCCAGGAGTTCAGAAACAGCCTTGGTCCGACCTTGAGGAACAGTTTTTTTTTGTATCCGGATAATCTATAGTTCATTACAATTCCAAAGTTATTGAAACACGGCCATAAGACCCAAGTCGATGCCCTTCACAATATTTTCTATATAATATATATACTTAGTTCTTTCTGTTGTTTCATTGTATTTCTAGTCATAGTCTCGGATATAGGACTTGCACTTATTTCCAATATATTAGTAGTTACCAAAAAGCCATTGTTTTATTGATAAGCATCGATCCTCACCTTTTGTAGTTGGTGAAAAAGATAGCGTCATTGTGTTCTCTTTCGTGGTTACCTGTTTTCTCTTTGAAAAACACCTTTTTTCAATGATTGCAGACGTAATATTAGAACATTTTTGAGCTGCAATGTGAAATATATAAGATTAATTAGTAAGTACCTTTCTGGGTGAAGAATAATATTACCTAGAAGAGCGGGTGGCGATTAGACCGCCATTATAATCTATGAATAATAGCTTATAATATGATCGATCTAAGCATAACGGAATATAATAAGAACAAAATTTTAGTTTCTGTTTAGGATTTATGCATTTGCAAACCTGCAAGCATAAACATGGCTTTAGCAAATAACTAAAAGAAATGATCAAACACACAGACACGAAAAGATATAAGTTGGTAACTATAGGAGTTACCTTGTTTGTATTCACATATGAACGTGTATTTGTATCGTGGGTCGCATGTAACGTCGTCGAATAATCCCCGTCCTTTATAGTGTTTTA